ATCATTGCAGAAGTGTGTTAAATGACATCCTCTTTCACATCATTATATAATTTAACTGAAATTTTGCTATAAAATATTAAGACAATTTTGGGCTCCCAACACTTTAGAGGGGCTGTGTTTATAGTGCGTTCATTACATACATTCAGAAACATAAAGGGAAAGCTCAATTTGATACGCTGACCGTTTTAAACGTAGTATAAATTCAAACATCTTTGGTTCTAACCAACCACATGGCCACATGATTGTTTCACGGTGAAAGAATAATGTCTGTGAAAATGTCAGGTGTTTAAGGCCCCTCTAAAGTTTTGGGAGCCCCACAAATTTCATGGCAAAACATTGATCTACATTTGCCACTCTCCACCCAGGTGTTAATTAATGGGTACCCGGTAAGATGCGAAAGCTAATGTGCTTAGATTAGCAAGTGTGCGCTTGAAAAAAAATATGACGCCTGGCTGGAATGCTCCCAAGGGAGTGAAGAATGTGCATACATTGTGTGCGGGTAAGCCTGAATCCATTTACCCGGGTAATTATATGATTGCAGGGCCCTCAGGGAGAACAGAATAAATACTGATGAGGCCAGGCGCGGATCCAGGTTTTTTCGGGGAGGTGGGGGTGGGGGGCAAATTTGATATTATGCGAGCCAAATATTGGTACGTAATGGTGACACCGGCAATGGCAAAAACGTTTGGGGGAGGGGGGGTAGACGAAAAAAATCCCCATCATCCCACTCTTATATGCAGGTCCCGCTGAACATTTCTCGGCGGGGGTCAAGGGGTGGAGCCCTCAGAAGCTTAGGGGGTATAGGCATTGAATTACTGTCAGATGAGCATATTTTGATACCTTATTTGTGACTCTGGCAGGACACAAATTGACGTGGGGTCCAGGGTGCGAAGCCCCCGGAAGCTCAGGGGTTTTGGGCAATACATTACGGTCAGATGAGCAATTAAAACAAAAAAAATTGGCCCTGGAAATTATAAAATTACGTCGTCAGATATTTCGTTCAGTGGCTTAGCAGGGGGGAAGGAACATTTTTTGTTGCTGCTTTCTTCAGCACACACACACACACAAAAAAAAAATCTTTCCCCTTTTTTGTCCTTCTTTTTTATCTGCCAGGGGGGCTGGGCCCCGGCGGTCCGCCCCCCCCCCACCTGGATCCGCCACTTGATGAGGCTACCCTGGGTAAAGAAGACATATTATTATTATTATTATTTAATTTGTTCAAGTATGTGTTCAACAGAAACATTTAAACTTTGCTTTCTTTCATCAATGTTCCTCTTCAAACACATTTATTTTGAAAATCCTTGCAGAGGTGTGTACACCCCCTCCCCTTGCGTTCTTGTTCCTGTTAATTGAACTTACGACTGTTTTCTTTTTAATTTGGCAAAAATTATGCACCAAATCGAGCAATTTATGCATCAATTGAAAACAAAAACTTAAACTCTGAGGGGGCTACACCCTCTCAGACACCCCCTTCCTTCATTGCACGTCCATTCGCCCCCCCCCCCAACAAAATAACCTGGCGCTTAAGTGTAACCTGCTGCTAAAGGGTAACCTGCTGCTAAAATATAACATGCTGCTAAAGTGTAATCTGCTGCTAAAGTGTAACTTGCTGCTAAAGTGTAATCTGCTGCTAAAGTGTAACCTGCTGCTAAAGTGTAACCTGCTGCTAAAGTGTAACCTGCTGCTAAAGCGTAACCTGCTGCTAAAGTGTAACCTGCTGTTTAAGTGTAACCTGCTGCTATAAAGTGTAACCTGATGTTAAAGTGTAACCTGCTGCCATGGGCGGTGCCACAGGGGGGCGGGGGACAGGGGAGCACCTGTAAATTTTTTATTATTCATTTTCTCTAAAGCAGAAGTGTTTTAGGGGCAATTTGTTTGTTGCTTATAATACATCCACAGGGGTATCCAAGTTTAAGTGAAAACAGACCAATATTGATAATAACAATTGGGAAAAACTGATCTGATCGATTCCTTAATTCTCCCAACTATATTATTACAACTTAATTAAAATTAAGGTGATTGTTAATCATCAAAAAGCAATGAATTGGCTCTATATACCATTCAAGACATTTAATTGTTGAAAGATTTAAACAAATCCTGTCTTACAGTATGTCTTATTTTCATGGAAAAAAAACGGTTGGGAGAATTTAACCAGAACGTCAATGACGTAGCGCTCATCCGCATCTCGCAACAACAAATAACCAAAATAACAATATGTTAGATTTCATATTGAGAACGGTATTAATACTATTTCCATGAAATGTAGAAAGACTATTTAAACTGGATGAGCATATGAGTAACTGTGAGGTAGATGCTGGACATAGTGTGGTAACGCATGACGGTCAGTCTCTAGATCTCATCACGCGTGCGCCTGGCCTCAGCTCAGCTAGCTAGCTCCAGACGTACACGAACAACAAACGCGCGCCGGCATCACGACCGCTACGGCCGCGAGCCCGTTCGCTGAAGTGAACTTCTTTTTCAAAAACTTAGGCGGCAGGTTACACTTTAGCGGAGTTTTCACTTTAGCAGCTTAACATGCGCATCCGTCTGGAAAAGGGCACACGTGTGCTAATAAACTAGCAGGCGTTAATTGATTCCTTAATTCTCCCAACTATATTATTACAACTTAATTAAAATTAAGGTGATTGTTAATCATCAAAAAGCAATGAATTGGCTCTATATACCATTCAAGACATTTAATTGTTGAAAGATTTAAACAAATCCTGTCTTACAGTATGTCTTATTTTCATGGAAAAAAAAACGGTTGGGAGAATTTAACCAGAACGTCAATGACGTAGCGCTCATCCGCATCTCGCAACAACAAATAACCAAAATAACAATATGTTAGATTTCATATTGAGAACGGTATTAATACTATTTCCATGAAATGTAGAAAGACTATTTAAACTGGATGAGCATATGAGTAACTGTGAGGTAGATGCTGGACATAGTGTGGTAACGCATGACGGTCAGTCTCTAGATCTCATCACGCGTGCGCCTGGCCTCAGCTCAGCTAGCTAGCTCCAGACGTACACGAACAACAAACGCGCGCCGGCATCACGACCGCTACGGCCGCGAGCCCGTTCGCTGAAGTGAACTTCTTTTTCAAAAACTTAGGCGGCAGGTTACACTTTAGCGGAGTTTTCACTTTAGCAGCTTAACATGCGCATCCGTCTGGAAAAGGGCACACGTGTGCTAATAAACTAGCAGGCGTGTGCTATCGCACCTTGCACACGTCTGCTAAATAACAGGCGGTGGTGGTCATTTAGCAGACGTCTGCCTGTTATTTAGCAGACATGTGCCGCGTTCCATACGTCTGGAGCATGTGAATAAAGTCACCAACGGCCTTGCGTGCGTTTCATTCCAGCTTTGGAGTGCCCGGGAGTCACTTATGCCTAGGTCACATTTGCCGCGGCGGCTGTGGGGTCTAAAATGTTTACGGCCAATATCAATAATAAGGCTGCCTCAGCATTCCCACGGTCACATACGGTAGCGGTATTATGTTATGGTAGCCGCACGGCGTATTTTGAATTTGTGGAGACAGAAAATCTGCGGCTGCCGTATGGCCTTTGAAGTGATGACGCACGGCCGCCTTAGGGCGTCCCTGCGGCGACCGTACAGTTTCAGGGGCCTACGGCCGCCGTATCCAAGCCGTAGAGCAAATGTGATCTAGACGTTATGCCTGGATTACATTTACCCCGGGCGCCGTACGATAAATCAGTCTACGATTTTGTGTGCGATTTTTTTGGGCATCGTAGGAGGCTACGGGCTACGATGTTTGTGTTTACATTATCTATGAGCATCGTGCCATTTCTTGTATTGGCCTTTGCGGGCAGGCGGAGGCGAATCCCTTCAGAGGCTGCTTGGATATTGTACGGAAATCGTGCAATTTCAATGCAGTAGCTGTGCAGTCTCTGCAGCCTCCGCACGAAAATCGTACGGAGCCCGTGCAGCTTCCGTGTAAAGGTTGCGCGGAGAAGGCGCGGTGACCGTGCAGCCACCGTGCCGTTTTGAAGCGTTTTTTGGCCTCCATGTTCACCGAAAAATCGTGCGTTTGCTGCACGATAAGCGCGAGTCCTCAGCCCGAGGTCTGTGCGGGGATTGTGCAATGACACCTACGACATGTCTACGGACTACGGGCTTACGATTTTTCAAATTTGAATAACTTTCTGCGAAATAAAATCGTAGAGGCCGCCGAGCCCGTGAATCCGTACGAAAATCTCACAGCCACCTCCTGCCTCTGTACGGAAAAGGGAATACGGGCAGGATACGGGCTCCGTAGACTGATCGCAGGCCAAATGTAATCCAGGCATAACCTTTCAAAAAGTATAATAGAAAACAATAGCATGCTTTTTCTCTGTACTCTTGTCGAAAGAAAAAACATATTAATCCAGCACAATGTCGTATCTTTTTGCGTTGGAGAAGAGCAAAATAGCGAGTTGCGATTGCACTTCAGGAGATATCGCAAGTCCTCACTCATTCCGTTGTGGTCAGGCGGCTTTGGGGGGGGGGGGGCTAATGATGAAAGTAATCGTTAGTTTTCTTCTGTTATTAAACTTGTTTTGGTTGGTTGCATATTTTATCGGAATGAGGGTTAGGGTTCGACATACGTAGGAGGCTCATAGTGGTTCGAAAAATGTGGCCAGCGCTCGTACGTGATTACGTGATATCCGCCATCTTCGTTAGTTCTCTGTAGTGTTCGCAGCTTTATTTTCTCAACAATAGGCCAGGCTGGAATTCTTTAAATTTGTGAGCTGAAAAGATCGAGGACTATTAAACTTGGCGGCATGTGCACTCAAGCGTATCTCCCAGCACGTTCAACGACAGACAGATTTTAAAAAACTTGTGTTTCACTAAAAATAAGGTTGATAGGATTTTTCTCATACCATTGATTTCTATTGCAGACTGAATATTTACATACAAAAATTTCTTACGATTTTGTTTCTTCATCTATGTGTGGTATATTGTCCTGATATTTCGAATTTGTAAATTTCATGCAGGCCGTGATTCTATCTGCGTCATTGCATACCTTGTGAAGAATTTGAAGAAGCATACTTATCAAACCCGCCTTCAAATGATGAAAAACAACCAGCCAACGGTTTTCAAGATGTCAAGCTGTGTCATTTTCTGTGGAAAATTGGAGGATATCTTTCCTCATGACTTCGATCAACTCAAGAAATTCGTAACAAATCAGTGGGAAAGAATTACAAAACAGCAATGGCAAGATAGTTGGTTTCCACCATCAAAGGAGACTCAACCAAATGACACCACACGCGCTATCAAATACGATGCAGTAAGTATTTAGTTAAATTATGCAGAGGATTAAGTTGTGTGATTTAGAACAATAATTAATTATGCACATTTTTTATTTGTACTATTTAATGACCTCATGTTTGATAAAAATGAAAAGAATCGAATATAAAGAAGTAGATTTGTTTGATAAAGAAGAAAGAGTTTTGATTTCTCACCCTTGTCACAATATCCACATTAAAGAAAATACGTTTTTAGCGTTGTTCATGACAGTGCATGTAATAACAATGTTTGGTACGGCCCCAATGGAAAAGGGGAGCTACGGAAAGGGAAGAATGGCAAGGAAAATTGGAGAACATTACAAGACAAAACAAGTATCGCCTCGAGATTGGAGACACACGGATATTAGGCAAGACAAGACATGATTGACAACATAGCTGTAGGGGATCACCTACGGATGTTTCATTGGTAATTTGTAACACTGCTCGCGGGATATTGATGCAATAATGTATACATAGACCATTATTAAGTAATTATTAATGTGTACATCCGAAGATCAAATATCACAAGCCAATCTAATGCTTCAACACGTAACTGAGTTGTAGCTATTAGCCATGTATTATAATATGATTATGTGAGTGTGTGCGTGTGTGTGTGTGTGTGTGTGTGTTTGAATGTTTGTGTTTCTAATGGCAAGTTTCTCTTATTTTTTTAATATCTCAGGCAACAGACAACAGGAAGAAATCTAGAAGAGAACCTCGCGGTCAAGGTAATAATGGATTTTGTATGTTTACCTTGAGCGATGAATTTCAATGATCATACAACACTCAAGTAGTATATGAAAACAGAAACGGGTAGATTCAAATTAATTGAAATACTTGTTAATAAGGAATTATTTGTTCGTGCATATGATTTTGTGAAAGCAAAGCAGCAATACTCGAATAACTCATACCTACAGGTACGCTCTGCAGCATACACATTTAAATGATGTTCAGCTGTTAGCACTTATCAAAATGCAACGTAAACAAGTAAATGTATCGAGAGAAAAAAATTCTAAACGAGAATAACTAATGAGGTATAGGGGAAGGATTCCTTGTTAAGATGCCACAAACTATGTGATTTTTCAAAAGAAGTATTCAAGTAAAAACAACTAAGAATTCAGGAAATATACTGTAATCATAAACGAATTATTTGCAATCGTTATGTAAGTGATAACAATTGGCTATTGCCAGTCAAACTATGTGCTCGTCAGCCCCCATGAAAAATGTTATAGTGATGCTATAGAACATAGGATCAAAGCAGCAGGTGTGTTCACTTCTTATTCAGGAGCTAGCAGGTGACATCGAGTGGATTCACCAGTTCCCTTTGACAAAGAAATAATCATAAATGCATCGGAGAGGTCTCACAGACACATAACAAGCTTAATTGAGTCCCTGTATCTATACAAATAGCAAGCACAAGCGCGAAGTCCATTCATTTTGTTTGTAAGTGATCGTTATTTCCAAGCAAAGTCTGTGACAAAGGTTGGTTGGACCATCCATGGTTGGACATATGGTTTCGAGTTCGAGCATCGTTCCTCCTTTTTTCCCCTCCTGTCTCTGGCCTTATCTCTTTTTCGAAATCCCTCGTTATAGTTGGCACGAAGTAAAAGTAGCTCAGCCCGTATATATACAGTAACACCATTCGTTGTCAAAAGTAGGGCAGTGAGACAGGTTAGCAGTTGAACAAGTGGCAACAAAATGAAGATTTATGCAACCAGAGTGGATTTTAGAGTGTTGCTGAACATGGTTTTGAAGCAGAGAACAGAAGACCACTATCATAAAAACTACAATATAAAGATAAACCAATGTACAAAACGATGGGCATGCCACAGAGCAGCGCCTTGTAATTGCTGATGGTGACGATGACATTGTAATTCTTGTAATTTGATTCACCCCTCCTCTCTCTCTCTCTCTCTCTCTCTCTCCTGTTCTTCCGCACGCTAAACAATATTTCCCCTCAATTTTTAGCATGTTCTACAAAAGTTAATGACGTGTTTTATCTTTCCCTTTTTTAACTATTCAAGGTGATCAAGAGTCATCACTGAAAACAGGCCAAACAGGCAATGAGGACAGAAGCACCAATGGGCATGAGTCAGGGCAAGGCAATCCCCATCAAGTGGATTCGGTGAGTCAGGTCGCATTTGCATTTTATACGAGACAGCAGGCCATTTATGTTGTTAAGAAAAGGTGCATTGATTTGAAAAACTAACTTGATTGTCATTATTGCAAAGGTGAAACTTTGATTGGACAAGTTTATACAAATTTGATGCTTGGAAACATTAGCAGTAATGATTATTATGAATTCAAAACGCTTAAAAACAGCCCCGGCATAGCACCTGAAAAGCTCTCCGATCGCTGCTGAGATGTGTGATGTCTCATTTTGAACATGATTTGCACAAGCAGACGATGTCCCATGACATCTCACACATTTCCAGTGCCTTTTTTGTCGTCTTCTCTTCAGTTATTTATCCTCATTCACTACCCTCAGGCTAAATGTTTAATATATTGCCTCACTTTAAACCCGATGAAAAATCAAAGGAAAAAATAAAGGAATCCTTCGTTTGTAAACAAAATAAGACGCCATTATATTTTCAGCTGCATACACCGCAGTATGTTAAGGCGTTTCAATGGGGAACAAATGCCGTCCATGCTTTCATTCCGGGGCTTTTTTAATTTGAAAGGGTGGTTTCTTTGTTTGTTTATTAACCCCTATCCTGTGCATTTACAAAAAAAACTAGATTTGTAATACTTGTTTGGAACAAGTATAGGTGGGCTGGTCTAACTAAAATTTGCAACAAAATGAAGGGCACATTAGAAATAGCATATTGTTTCAGCTACAACATACTCGAAGTTCAGCGTGAGTGAAGCTAAAACGACGGAGATATTGCTCACGAAAGACGGAAAAGTAAAATCGAGTTTTGAGAAAAAATCATGTCCCTTAGAGAATACATGCAAAATGTGAAAAATTGACATTCCTGCTTTAATCGCAAAAATACACCATGATGCTTTTGTCAAAATGAATAATCGTAACAAAAGCATTCGTAGAAAATTGTCGCTGCTAGAACATATCCAAATTTGGAAGAAAATCGATAAATATTTACAGAGAAACAATCAATTTTCCAAAAATATGCTGACATCATAATATGCAAATTGAAATTATGAGTTCGGAGGCCATTACGATGACGTCATGAGAAAATTGAGGGTCAAATGAGACATGAAATCATATATCCAATTCATACTCTATTAAAATATGAAGAAAAAAAAATGGGGTCACCTTGTATCCTGAAGAGCTACAATGGATTTTGTATAGGCATGTTTTTGCCCATATATGCTATGTATTACAAGAGCTCGCGCGCACGGAAATTTATGTTAAACGGTCGATCATTCCGTTATTAATAGTCATAAAGAGATAAACATGGTATCAATTTGTTTGTAAAAATATGTGGCATATTATGAAAGAAAAAAAAATGGCGATTCTATGTTGAGTAATAGTTTTACGCGCGAAAACGAGCCAATGCACGTGTGAGCGATTTTTTATAAAACGCTTAAAATGGCCTAAAACGTATGCAAAATTATTTTGAGACGATTTTGAGCATTTTAAAATTTTGCGCGCGCATTGACGCGCAGAGGTACGTGCACGCGCGCTTTTTTGGACCTGAAATTGACCGGACGGATATTGACCTTGATCATGATAAATCTGAATGAGAAATAACATTTGGTTCAGAAAATATGATCATGAGTTGATTTTCCGAAAATGTTACAAAATGGCGCCTAGATTACGTCATCAGTGACGGTCAATGTTGAAAACGTTATTGTGCTTTGTACATATGCCTATACATATGTGTATCAAATTTCAAGGCTTTTGATTTAGCCATTTTCAAGTTATCTTGTCCACAAAAAAAGTGGTTAGAAATAAGAAAAATAAACTAGATTTGTAATACTTGTTTGGAACAAGTATAGGTTGGCTGATCCAACAAAAAATTGAGACAAAATAAAGGGTACAGTTGAGATAGCTCTTTGTCTCAGCTACAACACACTCGAAGTTCAGCGTAAATGAAGCTAAAACGACGTAGATATTGCTCGCGAAAGACGGGAATGTAGAATCGAGTTTTGAGAAAAAGTCATGTCCCTTAGAGAATACACGCAAAATGTGAAAAATTGACATGCCTCTTTTAATCGCAAAAATGCGCCATGATGTCTTTGTCAAATAAAAATAATAGTTACTGCATTTGTAGAAAATTGTCTCAGCCACAACATATCAAAATTTGGAAGAAAATCGATCAATATTTACAGAGATACAATCAATTTTCCATAAATATGCTGACGTCATAATATGCAAATTGGAATTTTGAGTTCGGAGGCCATTATGATGACGTCATGAGTTAATCGAGGGTCAAATGAGACATGAAACAATATCTCCGAATCATACTCTAATAAAATTTGAAAAAAAATTGAGGTCACCTTACATCCTAAAGAGTTACAATTGATTTTCTATAGCCATGTTTTTGCCCATATATGCTATGTTTTACAAGAGCTCGCGCGCACGGAAATTTATGTTAAACGGTCGATCATTCCGTTATTAATAGTCATAAAGAGACAAACATGGTATCAATTTGTTTTTAAAAATATGTGAAATATTATGAAAGAAAAAAAATTGCGATTCTATGTTGTGTAATAGTTTTACGCGCGAAAACGCGCTTGCGCGTGTGCGCGATTTTTTATAAAATGCTTAGAAGGACCTAAAACATATGCAAAATGATTTTGAGACGATTTTGAGCATTTTGAAATTTTGCGCGCGCATTGACGCGCGGACGTACGCGCACGTGCGCGTTCTTTGACCTGAAATTGACCTGACGAATATTGACCTTGATCATGATAAATATGAATGAGAAATAGTTTTTGGTTATGAAGATATGATCATGAGTTGATTTTCGTAAAGTTTTACAAAATGGCGCCTAGATGACGTCATCACTAAAGGTCAATGTTGAAAACGTTATTGTGCTTTGTACATATGCCTTGACATATGTGTGCCAAATTTCAAGGATTTTGATTGAGCCATTTTTGTGTTATCTTGTTCACGAAAAAGTGGTTAGAAATAAGAAAAATATTTAATAAATAAATAAAGGCAATTCTAACGAAATTATAAGGTGGTCTGTACGATATACAGCCCACCTGATAAATAAATAAATAATAAAGGTAATTCTAACGAAATTATAAGGTGGTCTGTACGATATACAGCCCACCTGATAATTCAAAACTCAGAATCGGTGTCATATCCCTTTTTGGATGGTGTAAAATTCCATCACATATATATACACTAAACCCATTATAATTTGAGAAATAATAGCAATTATGTTCATTCTTTATGGGATATCGTCAGTTTGGGCAGGATTGGTTCATACTCTGACGGCATTAAAACATCGTTTTTTTTTCTGGCGAATCTCTCGCATATTCCAGATGCTATGGAGGCGGTTGTATTTGTATTTTTATAAATTTCCCGATATGTAGTTGACCTAAAACTTGTACGATGACGATCTGTTAGCTTACCAGTTTTTATTGATACATTATTTGCCATACTTGTGATTTTCTTTGAACAAGCACTTTAGGAAAACCATTGTAGTTTATTTATCTATTCGCACCCTTCTTCTCCTCCTCGTTGATTCCAAATTAACCCTTAACACACCAATGATTATGAACAATGCTATATTCTACTTGATATAACTCACTCCTACAGTGTGTGTTTGCGTTATTGCGTGTGCGTGTGTATGAGTATTTTTCTAATGGCAAGTTTCTCTTATTTTTTAAATATCTCAGGCAACAGACAACAAGGCAGAATCTAGAAGAGAACCTCGCGGTCAAGGTAATAATGGATTTTATTTATTTACCTTCATCAATGTATTTCAATGATCGTACAACACTCAAGTAGTATATGAAAAGAGAAACGGGTAGATTCAAAATAATTGAAATACTTTTTAATAAGGAAAGAAATGTTTGTGCGTATGATTTTGTGAAAGCAAAGCAACAATACTCGAATAACCCATACCTACATGTACGCTCTGCAGCATACACATTTAAATGATGTTCAGCTGTTAGCACTTATCAAAATTCAACGTAAAAGAGTAAATGTATCGAAAAAATAAATTTCTAAACGAGAATAACTAATGAGGTATAGGGGAAGGATTCCTTGTTAAGATGCCACAAACTATATGATTTTTCAAAAGAAGTATTCAAGTAAAAACAACTAAGAATTCAGGAAATATACTGTAATTATATACGAATTATTTGCAATCGTTATGTAAGTGATAACAATTGGCTATTGCCAGTCAAACTATGTGCTCGTCAGCCCCCATGAAAAATGTTATAGTGATGCTATAGAACATAGGATCAAAGCAGCAGGTGTGTTCACTTCTTATTCAGGAGCTAGCAGGTAACACCGAGTGGATTCACCAGTGCCCTTTAAAAAAAATCTAAATTCATCGGAGAGGTCTCACAGACACATAACAAGCTTAATTGAGTCCCTGTATCTATACAAATAGCAAGCACAAGCGTGAAGTTCCGTTCATTTTGTTTGTAAGTGATCGTACATTTCCAAGCAAAGTTTTTGACAAAGGTGGGTTGGAGATATGGTTTCGGGTTCGAGTCATCGTGCCTCCTTGTTCCCCTTCTGTCCCTGGCCTTATCTCTCTTTCGAAATCCCTCATTATCTATTATAGGCTTTGGGCATGGAGAGATGGCACAGTGATGACGTTGTAATTATTATATTTGTTTCAGCCCTCCCCCCCCCCCCCCCTCTTTCTCTCTCTCTCTCTCTCTCTCTCACCCGCAAGCTAAACAATATTTCCCCTCAATTTTTAGCAAGTTCTACAAAAGTTAATGACGTGTTTTATCTTTCATTTTTTTAACTATTCAAGGTGATCAAGAGTCATCACTGAAAACAGGCCAAACAGGCAATGCGGACAGAAGCACCAATGTGCATGAGTCATGGCAAGGCAATCCCCACCAAGTGGATTCGGTGAGCCAGATCGCATTTGCATTTTATACGAGACAGCAGGCCATTTATGTTGTTTAAGAGAAGGTGCATTGATTTGAAAAACTAACTTTATTGTCATTATTGCAAAGGTGAAACTTTGATTGGACAAGTTTATACAAATTTGATGCTTGGAAACATTCGAAGTAATGATTATTATGATTTCAAAACGCTTAAAAACAGCCCCGGCATAGCACCGGCATAACGCCTGAAAAGCTCTCCGATCGCTGCTGAGATGTGTGACGTCACATGTTGAACATGATTTGCACAAGCAGACGGTGTCCCATGACATCTCACACATTTTCAGTGCCTGTTTTGTCGTCTTCTCTTCAGTTATTTATCTTACTTCACTACCCTCAGTCTAAATGTTTAATATATTGCCTCACTCTAAACCCCGATGAAAAATGCAAGGAAAAAATAAAGGAATCCTTCGTTTGTAAACAAAATAAGACGCCATTGTATTTTCAGCTGCATACACCGCAGTATGTTTAGGCGTTTCAATGGGGAACAAATGCCGTCCATGCTTTCATTCCGGGGCTTTTTTAATTTTAAAGTGTGGTTTCTTTGATTGTTCATTAACCCCTATCCTGTGCATTTACAAACAAAATAATTTAGGACTCAAATCGGGGTCATATCCCTTTTTGAATGGTGTAAAATTCCATCACATATATATACACTAAACTCATTATAATTTTAGAAATAATAGCAATTATATTCATTCTGTATTGGATATCGTCAGCTTGGGCAGGATTTATTCATATTGTGACGGCATTAAAACATCGTTATTTTTCTGCCGAATCTCTCGCATATTCCAGATGCTATGGAGGGGGTTGTATTTAAATTTTTATAAATCACCCGATATGTAGTTGACCTAAAACTTGTACGATGACGATTTGTTAGCATACCAGTTTTTATTGATACATTATTTGCCATATTTGTGATTTTCTTTGAACAAGCACTTCAGGAAAACCATTGTAGTTTATTTATCTATTCGCACTCTCCTTCTTCTCCTCGTTGATTCCAAATTAACCCTGTTTCACACCAATGATTATGAACAATGCTATATTCCACTTGATATAACTCACTCCTACAGCAGGCGCGGATCCAGGATTTCTTAGGGGAGGGGGGGGGGGGGGAGGGGGGTAGGGGGGGGTAGGGAGCACTTTTTTTTTTGTCCCTCCAAGAATTTAAAATTTGCACCCCCCCCCCCCCCTTGAGCGGCAGGGGGGGTGGGGGATCGCCCAAAAAAGGTAAAAATCACGTGTTTTTAAACGTTTTTTTTTCCTGGGGGGGGGGGGGGGGAGGGCGGGCAACCCGGCCCTCCCCCCCCCCCCCTGGATCCGCCACTGTCCTACAGTGTGTGTTTGCGTTATTGTGTGTGCGTGTGTATGAGTATTTTTCTAATGGCAAGTTTCTCTTATTTTTTTTTAATATCTCAGGCAACAAACAACAAGACAGAATCTAGAAGAGAACCTCGCGGTCAAGGTAATATTGGCTTTTATCTATTCACCTTCAGCAATGTATTTCAATGATCATACAACACTCAAGTAGTATAGGAAAAAAGAAACGGGTAGATAGAAATTAATTAAAATACTTTTTAATAAGGAATGCATTGTTTGTGCGTATGATTTGGTGAAAGCAAAGCAGCAATACTCTAATAACCCTACATACGCTCTGCAGCATACACATTTAAATGATGTTCAGCTGTTAGCACTTATCAAAATGCAACGTAAACTAGTAAATGTATCGATAAAACAAATTCTAAACGAGAATAACTAATGAGGTATAGGGGAAGGATTCCTTGTTAAGATGCAACAAACCATGTGATTTTTCAAAAGAAGTATTCAAGTAATAACAACTAAGAATTCAGGAAATATACTGTAATTATATACGAATTATTTGCAATCGTTATGTATGTGATAACAATTGGCTATTGCCAGTCTAACTATGTGCTCGTCAGCCCCATTGACAAATATTATAGTGATGCTATAGAACATAGTATCAAAGCAGCAGGTGTGTTCACTTCTTATTCAGGAGGTAGCAGGTGACACCGAGTGGATTCACCAGTTCCCTTAAAAAAATCTAAATTCATAGGAGAGGTCACACAGACACAAAGCTATCTTGATTCCATAAATTTATACAAAAAGCGAGCACAAGCGTGAAGTTCCGTTCAGTTTGTTTGTAAGTCATCGTACATTTCCAAGCAAAGTTTTTGGCAAAGGTGGGTTGGACATATGGTTTCGGGTTCGAGTCATCATGCCTCCTTGTTTCCCTTCTGTCACTGGCCTTATCTCTCTTTCGAAATCCCTCGTTATCCATTAGGCTTTGGGCATGGAGAGTTGGCACGTAATAAAAGTAGCTCAGCCCGTATATATACATTATTCAAATTCGTTGTCAAAAGTAGGGCAGTGAGACAGGTTAGCAGTTGAACAAGTGGCAACACAATGAAGAGTTATGCAACCAGAGTGGATTTTAGAGTGTTGCTGAACATGATTTTGAAGCAGAGAACAGAAGACCACTATAAAAAAAACTACAATCTAAAGATAAACCAATGTACAAAACGATGGGCATGCCACAGAGCAGCGCCTTGTAATTGCTGATGGTGACGATGGCATTTTAATTTTTGTAATTTGTTTCACCCCTCCTCTCTCTCTCTCTCTCTCTCTCTCTCTCCTTTTCTCTCCGCACGCTAAACAATATTTTCCCTCAAATTTTAGCATTTTCTACAAAAGTTAATGACGTGTTTTATCTTTCCTTTTTTTAACTATTCAAGGTGATCAAGAGTTATCATTGAAAACAGGCCAAACAGGCAATGCGGACAGAAGCACCAATGTGCATGAGTCAGGGCAAGGCAATCCCCATCAAGTGGATTCGGTGAGTCAGGTCGCATTTGCATTTTATACGAGACAGCAGGCCATTTATGTTGTCAAGAAAAGAATTATACTATATATCTATCCGCCCTTTCCTTCTCCCCCTCGTCTCTTACATAATTTTTCGCCTCCTTCCCTCCTTTTCCAAATTAACCCTTTTCACACCAATGATCATGCACAATGCTATATTCCACTTTATACCAGCCCTCATTACCAAAAGATGACTTTGTGGTCTAACAACTTTCAGACCACTCCACATTTATACATTCTCCCTCAGCCCGAAGGAATCCCTCGCAACCGGCTCCAGTGAGACTTGGCCTAAAATTTTCCCAGTTTGCCTTCCTCAGGTTGAAACGACGTCGGAAGGTTACTGCAAGTGGAGTAATGCCTGCATTAACCTTAAATGCAATACAAAGTTTTGGAAAATTTCGAAAATTGGGTGGATAGTGATTCTTTTACAAATTTGATATATTTGGATGCCCCTGTGGATGTATTATAAGCACTAGAAAATTTAGCCCCTAAAACGCTTCTGGTTTCGAGATAAATTGAATATACAAATTTACAGGTGCTCCCGGTAAATTTAAAAGAAAATCAAAAAGCGGATGTACAATGGTAGCTGCATCCATGAAATCTCAGAATATGTAGTTGTGATATATAGTTTCAAAACGGGAATAGCTAATCGGTTGATTTTAGTCATAAAACATTGTTTTATAGCTTAATTAATATCTTGACCTTAAAAGGTAGCCATACAACATAAAGAGTTTATTATTAACGATTTCATAACTTTAGACTCGATTTCAACCGCGACAACGATCACTGAATATTGTTGGATCGCATATGCTTCCAATATGTTAATTTCAACCAAATTCATGACCCCATACCAAAACTTTGTATTACCTATCGGCCTTTAATGAGCTAGGTCAAAATCAGTTGTATATTTCAGGATATTCACTGGTATACTTTGAATTCATCATAAAGGGTTAGAGTAGCCCTAAACCTACAAATATACAGAAGATAGCCGTCATGTTGTAATCCAACATAGCGTCCGGAAACTAAAATGAACAATAAATGGTAATATATCTTTCTTGGAGATGTATTTTTGTGCATAAAACTAGATTTCGGGGGTCGACAAAGCCAGTTAAACTGTTTACAATATGATATGTCAACCAATGTCGAGTATGGCCTCACCTGACACGGATCAGTGAGTTCAGACGTCTTGGCATACTATCCACAAACTTGTTGATGGTGTTGGTGTCCCACTCGTTTGTCAGATCCTGGGCTTATTCCTGTAGGGTTTGAGGAATATTGTCCCTCTTATCCATGGCCTGCCTAATGCATCACAGACATGCTCAAATGGGTTCATATCAGGGGAGCAAGCAGACCATGGCATCTGCTGCACCCCCTCCACATCAAGGATTTTTCTACCAGCATCTGCTTTATGTGGCTAAGTTTTGTCTTGCAGTTGAAAGATGTTTCTTTAGACCTTTCTTGCGCGTCGAAGGCAATGGTTCCTCCATATGTCTCAAAACACGACAGCGGTGACGTGTCCATAAGGTATCACCGATGGCGTTGTTCCTTCGTAATTAGTACTGGCCCATACCATCACTGGGCCGCCACCAGCTTGATTGGTTTGATGGACGCAATCATTTTGGAGGTTCCGTCAATTAATAAATGATGGAGAAAAGAAATAAATAAAAGGTTCGTCAACGTAATTACCGAGCCATTTGTCTTCCATTCGTTTAGTCCAGGATATGGCGGCGCTCATCCGTAAAGAATAGGGACTTTTAGATTTGCGTGGACTGATACGTGGTACTTCCATTCACGGCAGTGCTTTAAAAGGACGTCGATCGTAGCATAGACCTATTGTCTTCGTGCGAATCTAAAAGTCCCTATTATATTTCGCCAGTGTCCAAGCTGAGGTCTTCTATGCTACCTAGCCTAGCGAAGTCGGGTTACTATGTGCATACAATTTAGGCAGAGACACTTGGCGATTCGTGTTGCTTTATAACCATGCTGAAGCTAACATTTTGGCAGAAACGTTAATGTAATGTATGGTGTCTTCTCCACAAATTACGAAGGCGGCTCTCTGGGAACTTCTGGTTTTTACGGCACATATTAAGCAGTTACCGATTATCTTGACAAGTAGTCAGTTTTGGTCTTCCTGGAGATTATGTTTGCCTCAACTTACCCTCCGTTCGACTATTTTAAGGATTTTACAGACCGCACTTTGTGATATTCCAAGGAAATCAGCAATATCGGCTTCTTGGCGTCCATCATGTTGGAGTGCAATCACTCTTTGGCGTATTCACAATGACCTCGGACGAGGCATAGCCAAGTGAAATTCTGTGTCAAATCTGGCTAAGAATCATACAGCCATTTCTTAAAATGTGGACCTCCTTTGCATACAGACTACACGCAGGAAAAAGACAATACATAACATTCGTTGGCTTTTATTTTTGTTTGTAATAATAATAATAATAATCCGTTTTTGTATATAGCGCTCAATACACCGATCCAACGATGTGCCTAAGCACTTTACAGATATATTATTACCCCGGTCATCGGATTCAGGCTTACCCGCACACAATGTGTGCACATTTTCCACTCCCTGGGGAGCATTCCAGCCAGTCGCCATTTTACAGGCGCACACTTGCTCGTCCAACCACATGAACAAGAGGCTATTTCATGAATTGGAATGTTATGCTTGATTTCACCTCGGCAATTTGGACTCTTTATACAATCAATACACTTGGTCAAAAGTCATGACTAATGCGTTTCAATAAAAAAAAAAAAAAAATATCTGTCTGAAGAAAAAATTATTCCAACTTTATGGGCAACAGTGTAGCTTAAAGGGAGTGTAGCTTGGCAAATACTGGTGAACGCAAGCTACGACTTCTTTTGGACAACTGCGCGTAAACCGAATTTCGACTCATGGTTTCCACAGAACGTCGGGGACGAGGTGAAGAATTTGTAACAAAAATCCTGTCCCGTTACCGGAAACAGTTTATTCAAAGACCCTACTACAGATGGACTAATAATGAGAGTCTTTCTTTGATCACATCAAGACCACCACCACTTGATAATTTGTATGTTGATGAGGACATCTATTTGATGCGACAATGTTGATTATGTAACCACGCATCATCGCAGACAAACAATTTGTTTTACATTTCTTCAGATTCTTTTCGCTGGGCCAGGGCCAAGAGTGTAGTTTCAGGACAAGTATCGCGAATTAAGACCAGATAGAGGAGCAGTGAAACCCAAGTTATGACAATTTGTTGTGATATGAGATCATTGTTTTAAAGCCAAATTTACAGGTTTCTCTAGTAAACTACTTCTAATTTCATATTGAAAACTTCATATACGTCAATATTCATATGTACGCCACAACTGCACATGCATTTCCATGAAATTTGAGCGGTTCAGTTTCTTTCGCGCATGCATTTTGTAGATTATTCAAGGCACATCCATGGTTATTTTATGGCTGACTGGCGGCGGGCGTGATGAGATCAAAGCTTGGAAGCATGTTTGGAATGTCATTATGATACTTTTGACAGAGTCAGGTGCATGAATGTATTATGGTACCGATCAGTGTCCATTTGTAGTAGGTCCATGGTTTAATGAAGAAAAAAAATACAAGACAGTTTTGTGACACTTTTGTGTTCATGGAAAGTGCATAATAAAATTAGTTCAATATTATCTTTATCTTGCTAGCCAAGAGATACCAGAAAAACAGGGTACATAACAAACATTGGTTTGACCTCATCTTGTTTTAATATTTCATTAAATATTATTTAATAAATTATCTCATTGTGGGATGCGTGGTTTTCTTAGGGGGGCCCAAAACTGAAATTACGCGAGCCAACTATTTGTACGTAATGGTGACCAGCTGCATGGGCAGCAGTGGGGTGATGAGCAAAAACTTTAGCCTTAGGGCCCTAGGTGGGGTCGAGGCGGCAGTTCCCCCGGAAGCTCAGGGGTTAAAGTCATATGCATTTAATAGTTGTCAGATAAGCATATTTTGATACCTTATTTGTGACACTGGCAGGTCTCTACTGCCTTTCTTCTTTCCGTTTTTTTCTTTCCCTTCCCTTCCTTCTCTCTCTTTTAGATTTGCTGTGGGAGGCAAGCGCCCCGCCCCCCCCCCCCGATTCACACGTTGTTGGCGGAATTAATCGCAACTGATGTCGGTCCCCTTCTATTCACCCTTTTTCTGTTCTTCTTCCTCTTTCTCTTTCCCTTTTAGCTCTCCTTTTCCTTTTTCCCTTTCCCTTCCTCCTCTCTCTTTTTTGGCGCGGGGGGCAAGGCAAGGGTCATATGCCCCCCCCCCCGATCTACAGCTTGTTAGTGGGAAGTGTGCAACTGATATCCCCCTTCCTTTCTTTTCTTCTTCCCTTTATCTCTTCTTTTCTTTTTTCCTTCCTTCTCCTTATTTTGTTGATTGGGGGGGGAACAGCCTCCTTCTCTCTCTCCCTCTCTCTCTCTCTTTTGCCCCCCCCCCCCCCCCCCGCCCCCGCCACTGGATCCGCGCCTGGTACGATGGGCCTTGGCCCAGCCCACGCTAGCACAGCCCCAGACACGTGAGCGAGGTAAGCGCTAACTGCCTGCTGTTGCTGCATCTAGCTTGGGACGGTAGGTCTAATTCATGTACATTACGGACGTTAAATCCGGCATTTTACTTGAAACAAGCGTAAAGAAAGACAAACTATACCCACAGAAAATCGTATTAATCCTCACACTGCTACATGAAACAGTCATGAATGATTTGTTTCTGTCTTATGCGAAATTTTACTTAGTTTTATTCTAATGTTAGAACGAGATCAACATAAAAATGACATTGACAAATTAAGCGGCTTATTATGTTGGCCGATTGAAGACGTAATAATGCCCAGTGACCTAAATTTGAGTCTGTAGATTGTTTGGATTGATCGCATACATTAATATTCATAGGCGCGCATGATTATTCACGCTGGGATTGATCCCAGCCTAAAAGCGATTTGTGTG